GCCATTTTGCATTTCTATCTTATTTATATTTATAATGAAACATTATGAATGTTTTGTATATGATGTTTTATTATTTATATGTATTATTGTTTTGATAGATGCCAACTATCAATGTATTGTTATGGTGGCGTGGTTTTGGCCTTTAACAGACAACAGGTGACAGGTGCTCACGATGAGTGGCAGGCAAACTGTTTATTAACCGCACGATAGAGACCGCGTGTGTTTGGGTTTTAATTTTAACCCTGGGCTGTGTCTTGCAGGCTCGTCCAGGAAGGAGATCACGGAGCACTGGGATTGGCTTGAGTCAAAACTGCTGCAGACCATCTCCATCTTTGACAACGACGAAGACGTCACCACCTTCGTCAAGGGAAAGATCTCAGTATGTCACTTCCTGTTTACTTGCTCAGGTCTCTCTTCCTTTGTGTCATCCTTTCAGTGAGTGATGTCACTTCCTGCAGGGCATCATCGCAGAGGAGAACCGGCTGAAGCAGGGCGAGGAGCAGGAGGAGGATTGTGGGAAGTTTCGGGAGGCGGAGCTGAAGATGAGGAGGCTGTTTGGGATGCCGGAGGAAGAGAAGCTGGTCAACTATTACTCCTGCAGCTTCTGGAAGGGAAGGGTGCCGCGGCAGGGCTGGCTCTACCTGTCCGTCAACCACCTGTGCTTCTACTCCTTCCTGTTGGGCAAGGAGGGTACGGCCGGCCAATCACAGGCCAGAGTTCTTTCATATCATTCAAAAAGTGAAACAGAAAACAGGAAGCGCAAACTGCCCTGGCCATTGAAGAGTAAATTAACAACTTCTGTAGTAACCTGACGGTACTCCTCTAGTTACCTGAAGGTACTCCTCTAGTTACCTGACGGTACTCCTCTAGTTACCTGAAGGTACTCAGGGTGTCCGCGGGGTCTTAAAAAGTATTAAAAGTTGATAAATCAATTTAGCGAAAATTAAGGCTATTAAAAAGTATTAAACTGCATTTTCCAAGGTATTAAGAAGGTTCACAGCAACGACAACATGAAACACCCTTTAATTTACTGAAACGACATGTGGGGAAACCCCTCAAGGCGGCCCCATGCATAGCGCGCCGTAAAATGCTGCTTCTTATTTTAAGTTTCGTTGCCTTGCTCCGCTCTGTGTGTGGGGGGGGGGAGGTTCCCAAGGTGGGTAGACCGACATACGCAACGCTCTGGGGGTCCAACGGCTCCGTGCGTGCCCTATATGATCATTTTCTGATAACGATGAAATAGCCCGCCTCCCTCTCCCCACGTCTCCTGCTGCTGCTGGGCTGTCAGAAGAGGGGGAGGAAAAGAGAGGCAGGCACCGTTTATTAAATATTATTATATTATTATACAGAGAACAGAGTCGTTATCAATTTGTTTTAAAGCTCAATAAATAACAAAGAAGACCTCTGACCGGCACTTTCCTAATTTTGTACGGAAGAT